CACATATATGGATAAATTTTAACATTTTTAGTGGTTGTTTTGATAAAGTTTGAAAAGGGGGTAAATTTAAAAAGTGGTATTTTTAAAAGGGTATTTTTTAAATTCTCCCAATATCATTCATATTTTTATCATTAACAATATTATTGTTTTATCAAAAAATACTTAAAAGCACTAAAGAAAATTACTATCAAAATTGAACAATTAATCAACGAATAAATTCAAAAGATATGGATGTATGATTCTATTGTATGATTCAAATAAATAAAATGTAAAAATGTCATAAACATTAAAATTTATTTAATCTATTTTTATAAGTAATAAATAAATTAAAATAATTAAATAAATATACAACAACCCGCGCATACGCGCGGGACATTACCTAGTAATTAATTAAAAATGCAGTATAACACGTGTCAGCAACAAAGAGCCCCAAATGTCGTAATGTGGTCAAAAGTTAGAAAAAATCTTGTTCAACTGACGAATGAATTAAACAAAATTTAACTTTTATGAACTATATGATTTTAAAAAAAAAATAAAGACCAATTTTTTAAAACCAAGTACTTTTTGTTTCTTTTTAAACAGTTAGACCTCAAATTTTAAATAAATTAAATATTATAATAATCTATTGGATCACAAACTAAATATATATTGAAATGAATTACAAAATATTATTTGAGATTTTCAAAAAATAGAAGAAGTTATTTGTTAAAGGTTTAAATTGAAACTTTTATTTATATAACAATCAAAACTTTTATTTTACATATGTGTTATATCATACTTTCTTCATTCATACTCATAAGTATGAAAACGTATGTATAATAAGGCATTAGAAATAAAAATTGAGAAAAGTATGTATAATAAGGCATTAGAAATAAAAATTGAAACTATGATTGATATATATCATACTTTATAAAATAAATTAAGATCAAATTCTTAGAAAGATACTTTTATTGATTTTCAATACATATAACAACACAAAAATAGAAAAATATTTAAGATACATGAATGTAGTGAAAGAGAATGTGAGAGAGAGAAAGAGAGATTAATTATAAGATGAAAGTGGCTCCTAAGCTTAAGCTCCAATGCTCTTGCTACAACTACTGAGTTAAAAAGATGGGGTATTAGCATTTCTCCTATCTACAAGAGGTGCATTTATTTTTCAGTTGTTTCTACTCTCAAGATATTTGGAAGAACAATCCCAAATAGTGTCATATAAAACAATGTAAATATATATCATATAGTACTAAAATTAAAATTTAGATTAAACTTTTACAATGCATATTAATTTTGTTTTTCAACTCATACAACAACAAACAACCAACAACAAAAAAACAGAAAACAAAACAAACTCAATTATAGAAGATTTGAGATAAAGTGGAAGAGGAGGAGGGAATGAGAGAATGAGAAAATGAGTATTTATAAGATGAGAAGTTATGAGAATTACAATTTAGAAGAACAAAATGTAGGATTTAATTCTAATTTATTGAGTGTTGACTAAAATTGAGTACAAAAATATAGTGAATGCAAATTTATATTATTTCAGTTTTTATATTAAAGTGTGAGTTAAATGTATATAATTAATTGTGTTTTAATTGAATATAAATATAGATGATCAAATTTTTATTTATTTATGGCTTGATTAAAATAATTTTTTCTTTAGGTTTATATTAAATTTTCAGTTTAATATATATAACTAAATGTGTTTTATTTTTGGTTTAGTTGAAAACATAATTTAAAAAAAAACATTTTATAGAAAAATAGACCAATAAGAAGAAAGTGAAACAAACCACAAATAAAATACAATTGATCATATATATCTATCTCTCACTTTAATTTTAAAACTGAAAAAATAAATCAATTATAACACAATTAATTAGATCTCTACATTTAACTCACACTTTAATATAAGAACTGAAATTATAAAAATTTGCATTAACTATATTTCTCTACTCAATTTTATTCAACACAAATTAATAAGAATTAACTCCCACAATTGTTGATTTACTATCAAATAATTAAAACATCTATTTTACTCAATTTGCATACATTTGATTTAAGTTTCTTCCATCATTAAAGTGAAAAAAGAACCGAGTATTTTATAATAAAATAAATATGATGGATGAAAATTTAAATAAAATGTAAGAAAATTATGTAAAATAGATTTTTTAAATATGTGATAGTAAATCATATATACATATATATGTGATATATCATATGCAATATGTGATTTTGTTTTAAAACTTTAGTTATATCTTTTGCTTTAGAGAAATGAATTTTGATCCCAATTAATAATTTTACTCATAATTATTTTTTCTTAATAATTTTATTTTATTTTTACCTAATTATATGGTTATTTGGAATTAAGATTAACATAAATGTTTTAGTTAAAAATAAAAATGGAAAAAATTAATTAAAAATAAAGGATGACACATGTCATCAACAGAGAGCGCCAAATGTCGTAACGTGGTGAAAAGTTAGAAAAAACCTTGTTATATTATATAAGATATATATCTGTTACTTGCTGTATGATCGGTTCATAGCTCATTTATGTTTGCACTGGAAAAAATGATAGTTATCATCTTGCTAACGTACAACCAAAATAGTATTAAAATGCTTTGGATATGTTACCAACATAAATCTACATTGCACACGTAATACATGCATGCTAAGCCAACTAACTCTTGTTAGGTTATTCTAATGATCGTCTCTTCCCCATTTGATGTGTCAAAGACGTGCCGATGATTTATCATTTATGTATGACGTACCTTATAATTTCATTTGATGTGTGATCTAAATAATAAGATTTTAAAACATTATATATATTATATGATATGTCTAACTTACTTTACAACTAGACAAAGAAAGGAGACACGAATCTGCATAGATATGTTTAGGGGATTAACAAAACCATTGAAAAAAGTACAACAGAGTTGAGATCATGTATGTTTGAAATTTGGCACAAACCATCGAGCATCAGATAATTGAATAGACGAACAAATACTTCGATGTGGTCTTTCAACTTCTTGTGTGTCGAGACTGTAGACAAAGATATCTTTTTCACTCCAAACATGATCTTTTGGGAAATATTGAAGAGAACGGTTACCACTGAAATATATTGAATTCCTGTGAACTCCTTGGGTTGCGCTAGCTGGCACAGTGATACCTTGATCCAAAAGTATTGCTTCATCCCCTAAAGAAGTAAGTTTCTCCCACTTGTTATTTGAAGAGTCCATTTTGTAGATGCGGAAGGACCAAACATCAGAATCACTCCTTATTATGCTCTTAACTCTAAGAAATTCTCCACTCATACTAACCACAAGATCTGTTTTCTTATTTTTCCACACATTACCAACCCTGCTTCTAAATCCATGTTTCCCAGCATAGTTCACTTGTGTTTCAAAGATTTGTCGGGGAGAATCTCCAGAATAATCAAAAACTTTGACATCATGACGCAAGCTACCATACAAATAAATCTTATGATCTTTGTATACCATGCTACCACCACCATAGAAATTGGCAGGTTCGCAATGATTCCAAAGATTATCTTTATTTCTGCAATAAACCAAATACACGTGCCCGCTTCGGAACAACCACATAACCACATAATCTTTGTTTTTTTCATTTATCCATAATATTGGTTGCTCAATGTCCATGTCTTTTTCTGGAAATGTGATATATTCGTCATCAATCTTTTTACGGAACCTATCATCTGTGGTTCGTTCGATCTTTATCCTACCATATTGTGTTTCCACACTCGGAAGACCATCCTCTCACGAGTAAATAGATTCATAATATAGAGATTATATCTATCATCTCTCATGAAGAGCCAGCTTCCACAAATCGCCAAACAATGACTATTTGCGAATTCAGCACCAAGATCTTGAATCCTATACACCTTTTCTTTTTCTTCAGGATTAAACAAGAGACAGTAATCTTTACCTTTTTCTGGAAACATAATGAGCCAAGGGATCTTACTGTTTGGCGCTGATTGTTTTGAAGCATGTAGCCAAGAAAGACACACTGATTTAGCTCTTTGAAAATCTGCAAAACCAAGACGTTCAAAAACCATGTTCAAGAGATCTAAAGGAAGTTTCGACCAGCTTGATCCATCAGACTCATCAGAAAGAGATTCCATCGAAACAGTTTACCAAATAAGTTTTATCAAAACGAAAATCTTCTCTCAAAATCAAAAAAAAAAAAAAAAAAAAAAAAAAAAACAAGAAATCTTCTCTCGCTACTTAAAAAAATATTAGAAACTAGCAAACTTCATCTTTATAAGGGACCTAAATAAACCCCTAAATCGCAAAAGGACATGTATCTGATAGTAATTAATTATTTAATTTTTTTGACTTAAAAGAGAAAAAATGGATCTGTGTGTCCATAAGAGATTTGTACATAAAGAGTAATTATTTAATATTAATTGATTTATAATTAAAAAACAACTTATATAAACCACAAACAACTAAACAGACATGTATCTGTATGCAAGATTTATTTTTTGTTGATAATTCTTTATTTAGTTTTGAAAACTGGATTCATGTCCATAATTTATATAATTATCTCCTATATATATTAGTTTGTAAACTTTTTTTGTGATAAAACTAGTTTGTAAACTTGGAATGGTGAGTTGTATATCATCCACATTTAGACAAGAATCTCACACCTACTAATCTTTTTTTATAATTTGGAAAGGTGAGTTGTACACGTATGGTTCATATTTAGACATGTAACAAATAAACAATTTTTTTTGTTAACAGGAAAAGAATTATATATCTGATATTTAGAGAAAACAAATATACAGTAGTATCGTAGATATTATGTAAGATATATCCATGATTTTTTTTTCGTTACAGATTTATTTGATAATTGTGAGATTCTTGTCCTTTTTAGGTTTGTATATGCACTAGGTAAGTTATCAAAGAGATATATTGAATTTAAGTGTATATATTAAAAGAGAGGTAACAAAAAAAAATAGTGAGCAACTCCTTTCTTCTTTGTTTATTATCTTCCCAAAGTCTATCCGAAAGCCAAGCCAATGAAAGCATGAGTTTGCGATCTTCAATAATATAACAGAACTTTGGCCCTATTCTTTATAGTAGTCCTTTAGCCTATTTGTATAAATAGTTATCAAAATATTTTTGATCAAAATTTCGATTTTGCTTAAGCAAAACATATTTTTTCCCCATTTTGCTTAAGCAAAACATATTTTTTAAACAACCGTTTTCTTTTCCATTTTTCTTAAGCAAACCATATTTTTAAAACAACCTTTTTTTAATTTGTTTGTGGCCTTCGAAAATATAGAGACGGCTCTTCCACACACATCTGTACGGAAAACGACAAAATGATTTATATATGTTTTTAATTATTATCAAATGTATACGTTTGACAGTATAATAATAGTATTAAACTTGTTATTAGTATTAATATTAAATGAAATTAAAATTTAGAAAAGAAATGAAAAATTATAATTATGAATAGGTTTTTTTTTTTCCAAACATCTAATGGACGTGTCAAAATGAAAATTCTTCGATATAGAAGGTAACGAATTTGATCAATATTGAATTCCATGCGTTGATGAGCCTACGGAAATTTCATTATCATCAAAGTATATTGATCACATTCTTAATTGGATGGTTCATTTCATCATGGCATTACGTTGGACCAGTGCGTGGAATGATAGACAATTTATTTCTTTTAAGATATATGTATAACTGTACTCATCAGGATACTCTTGGGCAAATATTAGAATTTAAAGATAAATATATTAGAATTCAAACTATGGTTTTCTTACATTAGTGATCTTTATTCATCTGATCAATCAATATTAATAACCCTTAGATTTCGTGAGAAACTAATCATTCGACTTAGCGAACCCAACTCTCACACTTGTTGTAGACTCATCAGGCCCGTAATCAAAAACAGTGTGATAGGCTTGCATGAATGTGATGCCCAGTGTCCTCAAATCAAACCACAAACAGTCAGAAAGATATTACTGTGATGCCCAGTAGCTTGTTAATGTACTTGATCAAAGCCTACCTTATACATAGAGTAGGTGAAGGGTGAATATACATATACATAAACAGCCTTCATAAGGCGACCAGATAATAATTCAAATTAACGGAATTTGTAACAAGTCCATTATATATTTTTGATTTAGGCATTAAGTTTTACTTAATAATTAAGAGATAACTCGTCTTACCGCATGAGCTAACGTTTTTTCCAAGAATAAATATATAATATTAAATGTTCTAGTTGTATTTATTTAAAATTAAAGAAATTTAACATATATATTGATAACATGCACGCAACCTAACTCCATCGTTGTATTCCGTTGACAAATTATTCATTTCGAAGCGACATTCAAGCAAAACAAATGCAAAACAAATGCAAAGCATTAATATAAAAAAGTGTATGGACATATTAATATAGTGTAAGGATCCAAATAACGTGCAAGAGATTGGAGGAGGAGGGAGAGATAGAAAAGCTACAATAAGAACCCTTTTAAACTTTAAGCTATTCATCTCAATTTTTTTTTTATTCTTCTTAATTTGTTTTGATGTTTAATTTGCTCTATTATCAAATCAATGCATTGTATTTATGGAAAGATTAGGTTAAATGAGCGAGAAATGTAGTAATTGAGAGCTTAAAGATAAGTATAGGGAAGTATATCGATGATTAATATAGCTTAAAGATCTAACTTTTCTTACCCGCAGGAGCCTGGAGGAGGAGGGTGAGGTAAAACGCCATATAAACATATTGATTAGTGTTACCGTTCTCTCTCACATAATTGAACCGCTTATTTCATCTATCATGTTAACCATGAATCAGAATGATAACATTTTGTTGGTACTTATTTAGATATACTTTACTGTCATTTTCAACCTTATAGACCAACAGTATCTTTTAGTTATATCATTTGTTATTCTAGTTTTTAAAAAGATATAAACGATAAACAAATCAAATATTATAAATATCTTTTTCTATATAACCAGACAAAGGTAATAATTGGATTATAAAATCATGCAACAATATTCTTTAAGACAAAAACAGCGTCTGAGTTTGAACTTCATTTTTTTCCTTGTTGAACTTAGAATACCATTTAGCCGAATCTTTCTCCTTTCTATCAGCTGGATTACTGAAATTCACCCAATTCATACCAAAACGGATTGTGTAACCTTGACTGAACTCGTAATTATCCATCGAAGACCATGGAAAATACCCTGCTACGTTGCATCCATCCCTACATATATGCCAATTTTTATATATATATATATATATATATAAGATTTATTGGTATGATCATATAAGTCATATTTGATTATTACTTTTTCCATGTATAGACAAACATGCCAAAGATCAAACTAGTAATTTTAAAAAATCACAGATAACTCACTCGATTGCGCATTTGAGACAAGACAAATGACTACAGTGGCTTTCAATTCGTCCTTGGTCTGCTAGTGCTTCAGCAAGTATTAGATTGCCAAAAGTAGAAAAGCCTGCAAAGTTCATAACATGTAATTCATATATTTTTGTTTAGTAAACTTCTTTAAATATATATATGTGCGTATACATATACCATTCTCAGTGATGTAGGTAAGTGGGTTTTCGTAATTGTCTTTGATATAGTTTAGAATTTGACGGAGTCCAGGAGGATAATAGGCAAAATTGGCACTCTGTAAAAAACCGTTTAATTTGAATTAGTGATATAATGTTTATATTATTATGAACTCTATTTTTTATTATAAATATTTTAGTTAAAAACTAAAATTGGTACTCACTTGAACACCAATTAGAACTCCACCACGAGAAGCTGTTTATTAAAAAAAAACAAATTAAAATCCAGTTTACGTAGACATGCATGCATGCAGTTACTATAAATCCCCAATTCTGAGGTAAAAAAAATCAAATATATATATATATATTCAGTTAGTATAGAATTAAAAAAAAATGATGGATAGACATACTGCTAAAGTTGGCTCTTGGATCAGTATGGACGTTGGGTGGATTCGAAATTGGTTGCAATGAATCAGTTGCATACTGTGTGAAGTAATAATTTAAACCTAGAAAATCCATGGATCCTTTTACTAATTGAGATTCTAAATCTGTAAATCTTGGCAATCTTTTTCCTAAGGTATCTTTCATGATCATCGGATAATCTCCATACACCAGAGGATCCAAGAACCATCCAACAATGAAATCAAAGGCACGCCCCGCAGCCATCTGATCTGAAACGCTTGCTTCATTTAAAGGAACAAACCATTTTCCAATTAAGGCTATTCCAACATTTCCACCTTGTAACCTCTGCACATTGTTAAGTCTGCCTATAAATATATTTCTTAAGCAAAAAAAAAAAAAAGTCTCCTTCATTTTTATATGCGTTTGGGTGAAAACAGAAAAAGACGTAAATATGAAGTAAATGTTTTTCACATGCATAACTCATGCATTTTCTTTTTCTCTTCCTTTTTCTTTCTTCTTCTTTTTGCATTCTAGTGTAAAGAGAGGCATTGAAGCGAAAAACTAAAGTAAGGCTTAATATGAAAATTATGACATTACTCATGTTTTATTCGTATTAATACCTTGTACTTCTGCCGATATGTAAATACAGTTGTAGCATGAGCAAGAAGTTGGTGATAACCAACAATATAAGGTTCGGTACCAGAATTCCCACCAAATTCACAACCTGTGCATCGCCCCGGTGGAAATGTTCCACCTCCGTAACCTCTCTTTGCAAACGTGTAAGGTTGATTAAATGTCATCCAATACTTCACTCTATCCCCAAATCTTTGAAAGAGAAGCTCAGCGTAATCCTTGAAATCCTCCCTATATGACCATGCATACAGAAAGCTTTATAAATGTAATGTATACTCGAAAAATAAGAGGAGTTACTAACTCCTTAGATTGCAGGTAAGTGTAACTTCTGCTACCAATAATAAGATGCAATGTAGCATATAAGATCGAGATAACTATAATAAGTAAATTTTTTGTCAAAAACATATACTAAATTGAATCGCTTACACTATTCGTCGGTTTAAAAAACCGCCATACTCGTCTTCTAAAGCTTGAGGTACATCCCAATGGAATATTGTCACGAATGGTTCTATGCCTACGCGTACATGTAATCAAGTTAATTACAATTATCAAAGATATAACAAGAAAAATGCACATGCATGTGTTATTATTATAATCTCACCGGTTACGTAAACCGGTTTATCAAAACCATAGTCTAATATATACACCGTTCGTGACAAAAATTTATGTTATAAAATTATAATTACCATTGGCTTTCAGTTCG